TAAAAACAAACAAACAAACAAAAAAACACCATCAACCTTTAAAAGTGGGGCCTGGAGTGGGTGGCTGCAAATTGAGAGGGTCAGCAAATGGTGCTAGCACCTTCCTCCACGTGAAAACAGTTGCTGGGGCCAAAATACACACTGGGTATCCGTGCAAAAAAAAGTACACTTGGGTGTCTGAGCACCCACTGGGCTAAGGCAGCTAGAGTGGGGAGGGGGTGGAGGGTCTGTAAAGATTCCCTCCATTATCCTTTTCCTTACACTATAAATCACTGAGAGTTTTTTTTTTTTCATTTCCCTTCTGGTGCTTTGATGCAGATTTTTTTTTTTTAAAGGTAATATCTGCTTTTTTTTTTTTTTAGGCCAATCAGAGAACTTAGCGTAATAATCAATCTCAAAGCTTTGGGCACATTTAATTTAATTTTTTTTTTATTTCAGATTGCTGTTTCCAGAGGACAATGCAGAATACTACAAGAGGCCTGCCAGCCTAATTATTTGACCTTCGGGAACGGAGCTGGTAGATACTTGAGCGGACTTTGTGGGTGACACCACCCCACGCATCACAGTTTGTGCAGGGTGGCCTGGCTAGGCACACGGGTCCCGCTGGGGGGTTGTTCAGCCCCAAACGCGGTTCAAATGAGATGTGAGCCTGCAACGTGGGAATTGTTCCTGCGGATTTTGAGGCAAAACGGTGAAGGACACCGGCCCTGTGGGCAGATTGGGGGGGTTATGGCTCAGACGTGGAAGCCAGCCAACGGTGGCTTGCTCAAGAACCATGGTTTGGGGAAGGACGTGGTGCAGGAATCCAGGAATAGAGGGAGGAAGAGAAAGCGATTCAACCCTGTGCAAAAGAGTTGGGATTTTGAGAAAGTGAAAACAGTAGAGAAATAGAAAAAGCTCCAGGCTTTTCCACTTAAAATGGGTAAGATGGTGAGAATTGGGGGGGGGGGTGTAACGCAGAGAATGAAAAACTCAGATTTGGAGTTTTTAATAAATAAGTCATGGAGTGGGGCCAGAGAAGGAGAAAAAAAACCCAATGATTTACAGAGCCACGTAACCCCACACAAAAACCCATCCCAAGCAGCGGGATCAACTTTTCTGGTTAATCCTTAACATTGGAGCATCCTGGAAGACTGCCTCTGAATAAGGAGGCTCTGGGAGGACTCCATGTGGATACTTAGGCATCCTATCCCCTTTTAAAGCCATTCAGGCCAAAGGCTCAGAAAGTCCATCCTGTTCCTTATCCCCCCTCCCCCCATTTTTGGTACCCAACTTTGCCTCCTGCTGGCCAACCTGCGGCCCTGCAGACTACATCTCCCATAATCCCCCAGCCCCTCCCCCATTCAAAGTCTTAGGCACCCTCCCCTCACATCTCCCCACCCCTGGATGCCACTTTCCTGGATTCCTGAGAACCCCCTCCCCAATGATCTTCGCACGCCTGACTTCAACTGTTGATTTTTCTCCCAACTGATTTTTTCCCCAGAGGGGGAAAAAATTTGAAGAAAAGAAAGAAAGAAAGAAAGAAAGAAAGAAAGAAGGAAGGGGGGGGGGAAGTAAGAATAAGTGGGCTGTTGGAGGACCCTGACTCCCCCCCCCATTTTCAGCCCAGCTGGGCGTGCAAAGAAGGGCAAAAGAGAAGAAGGACCAAATATAGGGAATAGGAAGATTTCTCTCTCTCTCTCTTTTTTTTTTTCCCCAGCAAGCTTGATCATGCATTCTGCTTCTGCAGCAACGGTGTGTGTGGGGGGGGGGAGGAAGAAGTGGGGGGGGCGTGTGTGGAAGCACTCTGCAGCTTCCCTTTCCCCTCTGCAGCGAGACTGCATCAAAAATCAGGGGGGTGGGGGTGGACAGAATCAGCAGAGGCACAGCTATCCCCTTCTTCCTGATGCTTTTGGGGAGGGGGGTTTGTTTGAGTCATTCAAAGCCGTCCAGGCGTGCATGCACCGAGGCATTTCCCTCGTTGACCCAGAACATGGAAGCACGAGAGAAAGTGGGGAGGGGGGGGGAATAGGGTCTGCTCCCCGCAAAGCCCGCCCCCCTCAAGGTCAGCCCCTTGAAAGCAAAAGTTGGCATTCAGGAAAGGGAAAGTAATACGGTGTGTGTGTGAGACACACACACACACACACACACACACACACACACACACACACACACAGACTCCTTGCCTGAAACAGAACAAATACATCTAAAAAGGAGCTACGAAATTTAGGGAAGGGGCATCCCCAGTTCTAACCAGCCTGTCTGACTGGACTGGACTGGAAAAGTTTCTGGCATGAAACAAGGTTCCCCCACCCAGCCCCCCACCCTCCTTCTGTCCCACCACCCCAATTACCTGCCACCTCGTTGGGACACGGTCTTCTTCAGATGGGGCTTGAAAAGTTCCTGGGAGGCTGGACTCCTTACAGTGACTGATAGCCACTGAGGAAGATAGGAGGAGAATGAAAAAAAAAAAAAAGAGGGAGGAGGAGGGAGGCATTAAATAGATTAAAAACTCTATTTTGGGAGAGGAGGGGGGGATAATTGCTTCCGGTGAATGCCAGCATCCTGCAGCCGAAGGGCTGCAAAGAATCCGCACGTGGGATTTCCATCAATTCGGCCTGTCTAGCAAGGTTAAAAGTGGGATCCCTTTGGGGGCAGACAATCTGCTCTTAAGTCCTTAATGTTCCTCTTCCTTCCTTTTTAAGGAGAGAGCGGACAGCTGTTTGTCTGAAGCGGTGTAGGATCTCCTGCTTGAGCACAGGGTTGGACTAGAAGACCTCTAAGGTCCCTTCCAAGTCCATTACTCCGCCATTCTTCTCCTGCAGGCAACTGAGGCGCGTGCTAGAAGAGCTTAAGGACCAATCTTTTAAAAGAACGTTTCTTGACCCATTGGGTTTTGCTGAAATTCAAGCGGGTGGAAGGGGGCTGTTTTGAGCCAATGCACAAAAGGTTGTGTTGTGACGTTTGGACAAATCGAGGCGGAGAAGCACCACAGAAAGTATTGTGATGCTGCCCGTTTTGCACTTCTTAAGAGCTGGGCCTGAGGCCCCATGGAACAAAAGTTCTAAGAGAGGAACCGGATTGAAAAAAAAAAGAAAAATCAGAGAGGGTCACTGGCAAATCCTTACGAAAAGGGTTTAAAGCCTATCGGGCAGCACCAACGAAGGAACCACTAACGAATAATTTAATTTAATATATAAGATGTCCAACTATTACCCCGTAGGAGGCTTAGGACGTCCCAATCAATTGCTTTGATTGCCAGCACAGACAATAATATGAGAATAACAGAAATAACAGAATAACAGAGTTGGAAGGGACCTTGGAGGTCATCTAGTCCAACCCCCTGCTCAGGCAGGAGACCCTATACCACTTCTGACAAATGGTTGTCCAGTCTTTTCTTAGAAACCTCCAGTGATGGAGCACCCACAACTGGTTAATTGTTCTCACTGTCAGGAAGTTTCTCCTTAGTTCCAGGTTGCTTCTCTCCTTGATAAGTTTCCATCCGTTGCTTCTTGTCCTGCCTTCAAGTGCTTTGGAGAATAGCTTGACTCCCTCTTCTTTGGGGCAGCCCCTGAGATGCTGGAAGACTACTATCATGTCACCCCTTGTCCTCCTTTTCACCAGACTAGGTGATCTGTCTCATAGTCAACCAGATCTTCAGACTAGATCTGGCATTGTTTCCTACCTATTGAGTTCTTCCCAAGGACTTGGGATATAGGCAGCTGTTCTTGTCAAAGTGCAAAATGTGTGATTCCCAGCTCCCACACAACAAGGGTGTGTTGGGGGTGCCTTAACCCATCTAGAAATTGAAGGAGGTAGGAAGGACAGGGAGACTTGCCATATTTAATTCATTGTTACTATTGTTTTTTTCTTTTTTTTTACCATCCTGCTGGAACTGCAGCATTTTTCAGCTGCAGAGAATGCAGCTCTGGACATGTTAGCTGGTTGCGCAGTTCACTGCAGTCTTCTGCAGGCTGGGGGGGGGGCGCTTGCAGACCCACCGTCTCCTCGCTGAAGAGGTCAAACGGCTTTCAAGGTTCCTAAGAAGAAGGAGAGAGAAATTCAGTGCTAGCAATGCAAGGTCGTCCATTAACCACAAACCATGATATATTTAATACTCTGCACAAAGCTGGCTGTTGTGCCCGGCCAGCCATAGTTTAAGGCACAACTTCTTAAGGAAGCCAGTGCATCGTGGCTTGTTCAGTTAAAGGTGATTAAATCAATCCCGGTTCACTCTGAAGCCCAGTTTGTCCCCCTTTTTCCTAAATAAAGGAGAAATTCATCTGTACGGTCCATTTGGCATTTGTTCACACAACATTCCTTAAAGGTAGGCCTGGAAACCCGACCTTTAGTGTGGTCCCCTTATTCCCTGTAGAGTTAAGCTACAAGGGCTAGCTTGGTTTGCAGGATTTGTCTGGCCCTAAATGATGCTTTGACACCCACAGGGTTATACTTAACAATGCACTAGACCACAACGAGGTAGAGTTGTATAAGTAGCAAATCTGAATGCAGCAAGTTATGCCAGTTTCTCAGAGCTGCTAAACGCTTCTTGGAGAAATAGTGTCAGAAGGCAAATAAAGAACATGTCCAATATTTGATTTAATAAATAAAATTTAGTTTTATTGGAAACTTAGTTAAAGGGGTCTCCCACCAACTGGAAGGTGCTACCCCAAGTCCCCTAATTCCCCCCCCCCAGATCCCCCGGGATTGGATTCCCATAGCTCCCTACCCCACGTGCTGGTGGATGATGGGACCTGGAATTCCATACCTAGGTCTGGTTGGCAAGCAAGTAACACAACTGCTACGTAAATGCGCAAACCGCTTGCGAGGTGGATACTTTCATACTGGGCCCCAAGTTTATACTTTGTTGCCGCCGAATAAATACACCGAGGAAAACGGGATGAAAATAAAAATAAAAATAGAATCAAGGAAGACTCGCTTGCCCGCCCGCTTCATAATCGGTCGCTCCGGCTCGACGTGAACCATAAGCTTTTTTCCACCCCTCCCTCGTACTTGCCATTGGGAAGAGGAGGCGGAGCTGCCCGGCCAAGAGAAGGCGAGGAAGAAATCTCCGCGTTGGCGCCGTCGCCCGTTTCCCGGATTCCGCCTTGCGCTTCTCCAACGCCGCCCGTGGGAGGGAGGTGAGTGGGTCTTTCCTGCGTGGTCCGACGGCAAAAATGCAAGGGGGGGGAGGGAAGGATGGGCTGGCCAAGAGGGGAGGGGGCCTTCTTCACGTTCTCCTATTGCAAACATATAATAATAATAATTTAGGCATGCATTTCCCCTGCGCGCTTTGGAACAGGCGCTTTTGCAAAAGGCGTCCGCTGGATAGGGGCGCAGGCCACCTTGCCTGCCAGCAGATCGCTGGAACGGGGATCCGTTCCAAACTCGACTCGCAAGCCCACTTCCGCCTTGCCTGCCAGCAGATCGCCTCTTGCAAGGAAGAAAGAGGGGGGGGGGAGAAGGGTTGGATGGAGCGCAACCGAGTTTAGGGGGGCCCCCCCTCTTCCTCCGGGTTTCCACCCAGATCTGGAGTGGGGGAACAATGCACGACCTGCCCCCCACTTTTCCTGGCTTTGTACACACAACCCCCCCCCAATGTTCCCCTAAATTTGTCTTTTTTTAAAAAAACAAAAAACCAAACTCCTTCCTGTTTTAATTTCTTCCCCAAAACTAGGAATTCCACCCTCAAAAAAGGAAAAAAAAAATGGGTGGAATTTGCTTTGGCTCTTTTGATTCTGTTAGAAATCTCCTTGACGTGTACACGCGCACCTTGTGTGTGCAAAAGTATTCCATTTAATATGTCAGCAATTAACCAGGCATCCACTTGGCTGAGCCCGGTGGATTTATTTGCACATCAGCAGAAAGTGGCTGTTCCAGAGTTGCGTCTGGGACCTCGCTCCGGCAGGACCGACAAACTGGTTTTTCCCGCTTAAGTTGGAAACAGGTTAGAGGCAAAAAATTTCCAGTTTCAGCAAAAAACGCTGCCTGGATTTTCCCACCTGATTCCAGGCAGAGATGCTTCAGGAAGGCTGACTCTTTCAAACTGGGGTTTGTTGAAAGCGTACTGCAGTGTGTGTGTGCATAGACAAAGCCAACCCCTGTCCAATATTGGGGGGGGGGGTTGTGCATGGCAGAAAAGCAGGGGGTGTGGTGCCAAAACTGGCTGCATACTGGATTTTTTTTTCTTTGTTTATTTATTGCAATCTCTCTCTCTCTCTCTCTCTCTCTCTCTCTCTCCTATCTATCTATTTATCTCTCTCTATCATCTATCTATCTATCTATCATCTATCTATCATCTGTCTGTCTATCATCTATCTACCTACCTACCTCTCTCTCTCTTATCTATTTATCTCTATCATCTATCTACCTACCTACCTACCTACCTCTCTCTCTCTCTCTCTTATCTATCTATTTATCTCTCTCTATTATCTATCTATCATCTATCTATCTATCATCTGTCTGTCTATCATCTATCTACCTACCTACCTACCTATCTATCTACCTATCTACCTATCTCTTTCTCTCTATCTCTCTATTATCTATCTATGTATTGCAAATGTTTGTGGACAACTCTTGGCAACTGTTGCTCCGAAACCTCAGCGCAAAGGGCAGTTTTTAAGGTGCCCAATCCTTTTGCTGGCTCTAAAACAAACAAAAAAACATTTAAAAAAAAAATTTGTCACTTTTCTGCCGGTTCAGAAGGGACTGGGAGCAGCTGAAATGGGGGGAAATAAAATAAAAAATAAAAACAGAACATACAAGCTGCAAAGATGGGCTGGTTTAAAACAAACTTTTTTTAAAAAAACTACATTTGGAAATGAACCCATTTCTGGGTGAGCCTGTGCAAAGAATCAAATGGATTAACATTGCATAGCAGTTTAAACAAACAACTACTAAATTCAATTTAGTAATCTGATTAAGACTATTTTCCACACGTGGCCAGTGACTTTCTTGCAGATCTGAGTTCAATGTGTTGTGTAAACCCAGCCTAGATTGGGGAGGGTGTGGCCGGACTTTTTAAGAAATATTTAATATATTTCTTTTCTTTGCCTTCTGAGAGAGCGGCTTCTGCACCAGGAAATGCTGATTTATTTTTTAATCTGTGGGATTTTTGTTTGACTAACCGTTGGACTGTTGGAGTGTTGAAAGCATGTTTTTTTCCTCACTTCGCAAAAGAAAGTTGTCAAATAAGGAAGTATTAATCGCCAGTTTCTATATAAGGCTGATAAGTCGGCCTTTTTCCTAAATTCGAAGTACATATAATATACAGTTTACAGGAAGGAGAAGTTTGGATTGAACCTCAGTGGAGGTGTTGACAAGCTCCTGGATAAGTATCAAACTAAGATTGGATTGTTGCTAGTAAAAGATGATCCTGCCTTTTGTTTCCTACATCACATCTGTGCAATCTTCTAGAACAGGGGTAGGCAACCTTGGCTCTTTTATGACTGGTGGACTTCAACTCCCAGAATTCCTGAGCCAGCCATGCTGAGGGGAAAGGGAGAGTTTCCAAGCTGAGCCATGCTGGCTCAGGAATTCTGGGAGTTGATGTCCATGAGTCATAAAAGAGCCAAGGTTGCCTACCCCGGGTCTAGAATGTACTTAGTTCATTTAGTGACCATTTACAGTTACAACGGCACTGAAAAAAGGGCCGTTTTTTACACTTACAACCATTGCACGTCACGTGATCAAAATTCAAATGCTGGCAACTGGCATGTACTTAAGACAGTTGTAGTGTCCTGGAATCACATGGTTAGTTAATAATTGTTAATAATTAATAATAATTATAAGTTAATAATTGCAGTGATTCATTTAACAACCGGGCCAGAAAAGTTGTAAAATGGGGCAATGCTGACTTAACAACTGTCTCGCTTAGGGACAGAAATTTGAGGCTCCATTGTGGCTCGTAAGTCAAGGACTGCCCGTGTGCAAATTTCCAATACATAGGATTGAAAAGGAATATAAGCAGTGGAAATCCTGCTTCTCTTTTTTGCGCCAGGAAAACCTGTTGAACCTACGAAGCACGAAGCTTACAACGAATGCTTTTTTGTTGCTCGAGAATATCTTAACTCGGAGCCAGCAAATGGGGGGGTACAAAGTGGACATTGAAACGGTCCAAAGACTTAATTCCAAAGATGCAAATGTTATTATTTTTTGTTTTTGTTTTTGCTTCCCGATTTCGGAAAAAGACTTCATTTTCTATTCTTCCCTTTCTTTCCAGAGCTTAACGATGCTTTTTAAAGGGACCCTGGCCGTCATCTTGTTCTGGGGGGTTTTCCCCACCGAAAGCAGAGAATCTCGGGGCCACGTGTCGGTCATTCTCCTGGGGGCCACGGGGGATCTGGCCAAAAAATACCTGTGGCAAAGCTTGTTCCAGCTTTACCTGGACGAAGTGAGCAATGGGCACACTTTCACCTTCTATGGGGCCACTCAGCAGGAGCCCGAGGTGGGGCGAAAGCTGATGTTTGAGCCCTTGAAGAAGCTGGCCTGCTTGCCGGAGGTGCCACCCGACAGATGCGCGGTGCTAAAGGACCAGTTCTTGAAATTAACGGAGTACCACCAGCTCAAAGGGGAAGAAGACTATGCCAAGCTCAGCCAGAGCATTAAGACCAGCCTCGCTCAGGAGGAGCTGGTGGAAAGCGGACGCATCTTTTACCTGTCTGTGCCACCGTTCGCCTATGCCAAAATTGCCCGGCACGTTAACAGCAGCTGCAGGCCTCCCTCCGGCGCCTGGTTGCGGGTGGTGCTGGAGAAACCCTTTGGCCACGATTGGGTGTCTGCGCAACAGCTGGCCGAGGAGCTGGCGAAGGTCTTCCGCGAAGAGGAGATTTACCGGGTGGATCACTACCTGGGGAAGCAGGTGAGATGGGAGGAGACTGTGACGGGCTTGGAATTGCCCACGGCAACACCTGGATGGGAGAGAGGAGGAATCCTGGTTTGATCGGGCGAGGGACCCAGCAGCAAGGGGTGGGGGATTTGACGCTTCTTAAGAGGTGACTCTGGCTTTTGCAGAGATCTCTAGAGGCATTGAAGTTCAGTGCCCATCATCCCCAGCCAGAGGGGCTTGTAGGGTGATTAAGAGGCTTATTTATTTAGACAATTTATATTGCCGCTTATTCGCTCAGCAGCGATTCGGGGAGGCTTCCGGGAAATAAAAGCACAGTATAAAAAGAAATATAAAAAATAAAAAATAGAATAGAAAATAGAATAGGATAGGATATAGAATAGAACAGAATAATAGAATAGAATAGAATAGAATAGAATAGAATAGAATAGAATAGAATAGAATAGAATAGAATGCAGAATAGAATAGAATAGAATGCAGAATAGAATAGAATAGAATAGAATAGAATAGAATAGGGAATGGAATGAAATGGAATGGAATGGAATAGCATAGCATAGAATAGAATAGAATAGAAATAGAATAGAATAGAATATAGAATAGAATATGGAAATTAGAATAGAATAGAATAGAATAGAATAGAATAGAATGCAGAATAGAATAGAATAGAATAGGGAATGGAATGAAATGGAATGGAATAGCATAGCATAGCATAGAATAGAATAGAATAGAATAGAATAGAAATAGAATAGAATAGAATATAGAATAGAATATGGAAATAGAATAGAATAGAATATGGAAATTAGAATAGAATAGAATAGAATAGAATAGAATAGAATGCAGAATAGAATAGAATAGAATAGAATAGGAATAGAATGGAATAGAATAGAATAGGGGAATGGAATAGAATGGAATAATAGCATAGCATAGAATAGAATAGAATAGAATAGAATAGAATAGAAATAGAATAGAATAGAATATAGAATAGAATATGGAAATAGAATAGAATAGAATATGGAAATTAGAATAGAATAGAATAGAATAGAATAGAATAGAATAGAATAGAATAGAATAGAATAGAATAGAATAGAATAGAATAGGAAAAGAAATAGAATAGAATAGAAACGGAATGGAACAGAATAGAAGAGAAAAGTTGGAAGGGATCTTGGAGGTCTTCTAGTCCAACCCCCTGCTCAGGCAGGAAACCCTTTACGTTTCAGACAAACGGTGAATGTCTTTTGACATTCTTAGAGTAGGAAAACGAGGGTGATTTTATTTAATTTGGGGTTCCCCCACCCCCCTGTGAGCTAAACCACTGCAGTGGTGTGCGGGAGAGTATGTCGGGGAGTGAGTGTGCAAAAAGACAGAAGGGGTGTGCCAGGAATCCAAGGTTGTCACTTCAGTTTTGTTGAGTAAGAGTTTTTTGTTGTTGTTGTTTTTTCCGCGTTTGGGCCTCCATCTCTGCTGGGCTGCCAAATTCCAAAATTTCCCCACACGAGGCTTTTAATTTGATAAGCTGGCAGCGAAGCGTGCAATTTTTCTCATCTCTTCTTCCAAGTTCCCCCCCCCTCCACTTGGTTTTTTTTTTTTCTGGTTTGAGAAGGATTAGTCATTCTGCAAGGCAGGGGATCTTAGCAAGCGGGGATGGAAGCGTGTTGCTGTTGGCTGTCGGAGAGAGATCTTGCCTGGAAATTGCATAATTTGGCTTTAACGAGGGGCCCAAAACTGGGATTTTCAGTTCTACAGAAATCGAGAGAAAGGGGGGCCTCTGGGTACGTGCAGAGTGCGTTTAGGATGTAAGGGAGGGGTTGATTGGGTATAGACATAGAAAAACGCAACAAAAGCCTGAAATTTTCTGAGTAACTTAAAGAGTTTTCTCTTTTCTTCAAACATATACATATATTTTTGTTAATGCAGGTTGCCCCCAATTTACAACAGATCATTTAGCGACAATTTGAAGTTACAGCAGCGGCTTATGACTGTTTTGCTCACTTACGACTTTTGCAACATCCCCGGTGGTGACGTAATCAAAATTCAGATTCTGGGCCACCAACTCCTATTTACGACGGTTGCAGCATCCCGCAGTCACGTGGTGCCCTTTTGCGGCTCTCCGACATGCAAAGTCAGTGGGGAAGCTGTCACTTAACAACTGTGTTACAAACTGAACAATTGCAGCAATAAAAGTCGTAAAATGGAGCAAAACTCCCATTTTAACTAATCTCTCGCTTAGCGACAACTGTTGGGTTCAGTTGCGATCGTAAGTCGAGGACTTAACCTGTAACGTAGAAGTTTGGCTTCCTGAATGTTTGAATAGCGCTCCGAACGAATCAGGATCCCACTTCTAGCCAATTAGGTATATTTCTGACGGGGAATTAGGAAACCACTCCACTAATTTGCTCCCCAAGTTTTACGCACAACAGCCTGGACTGAACCAAATGCAACTTTAATTATTAAAGGCCTAATCAATAATTCGCAGCCCTGGTCGGAAGAGAATTTGATTAGATCTTCGAATTTAAAGGTGAAATGGATCGGTGTTGGGTCTTGGACACAGTTGGCTTGCAAGATTCATCCCTAGAATGGGGCGTCCGATATTTTTTTCCCCCCAATATGCAAATTTTTCCCCTTTTTTCTCCCATTCTTGAAGGTGGTCGCTCACATTTTACCTTTCCGGGATCAAAACCGAGAAAAACTGGACCCTGTCTGGAACCAGCATCACGTGGAGCGTGTGGAAATTGTTCTGAAAGAGACGGTGGACGTCAAAAGTACGTCGGCATCAATTTGGGTCGGGAGGAAGGATCAGAGGTTAGGTGGACGTAACGATTTCATGATTAATCTAAATGAATTCTCCGCAAGCAGTACTGATTTCCAATTTTATTTTTATTTTTTTTTCTGGAGGCTTCAGCCTTTCCACGCGGCAGTTCCCTTAAGTTTCCAACTTAAATTTCTTTTCTCCATTTAAGTTAGCTCCCTTCGCTTTGGATCGGCTGCCTTCAGCAATTCATTAAACTCTCTTTATTTTCTCTCCATCCGGGGATTTGCCCTTTCTTAGCAGGCCAGATAGAGCTGCGAAAAACAGTCCTGTGTTTAATTTGATTGGCTTTTTATTTTATGCATGCCGGTTGCTTTCCATGGCTAGAGTGGAATTCCAGTGACCTGAGTCTTACGAGAGGATATCCTGTGTGATTGTGGAAATCAGCCCTTTATTAAAAAACATGAGGACTAGTGACTTAGCCTTAATTACACAGGAAGAGCCCTCGCTGAATGACAAAAACGCCTTCATTTCGCCCGTGGAAAGTCAACAGAGAGATAGCTTTGGAAACCTTGGGAAGTTATTGTGGTGGGCAAAACTCACAACGCTGCTGTTTTTCTGCAGTCTCAGAAATGCGTCTAGGCTATGCACGTTGCCAGCAATGCATTATGTTATTAAAAGCAACAAGCGTCCATTTCCTAAAATAATCATTTTAAGCTTGGCAAATTCCAGGGTTTTTGTTTTGTTTTGTTTTTTTGTTTTTAAATCTGGCTGAGGAACAAGGGGGGAATTCTCGGTGCGTTGCACACCGGTTTTGCTCCTGCAAGCGATCGTTCGCTCGAAGGACAGGAAAATGGGCTGTATGTTTGCTTGCAGTATAACTCTTAATGCTTTTTTTTCTTGGTTTTTTTTTTTTTTGTGAGTTGGAAAAACTGGTTGGGCAAAAATCTTTCCCTCTTCCTGGTGCAGTTAACAAACCAGAGTAACCAAAAGTGGTTTTTCTCGCCTTTCTGAAGGGCACTGCAGCAGGAGAGTCTGTCTTAACTCCACTGGCTCATTTCTCACTCTTTGCTGAGCTAGATGGCCTTTAGGGGTTCCCAAAAGCTAAGCAGGGATGGGCCCAGGCACCGGAGTCCTTGAACAGGAGGCCACCAGGTGATCCCACAGTAGGGTGCAGAGGCCAAAGAAGCATCCGGGAAGAGAGCCGGTGTGCACAGTGGTTCCTGGCTTGCCGAGTGCGTCGAATAATTTTGCAAAGGGCCCACCTAAGCGCGGAAAGCTTTTAATTCTGCAGATTAATCGATACCGCGGTTATAACGCGGGCTCAGCTCTCTGGCTGGGGCTTCTCACAGCCACCGTCCCTGCTTTGCCCAGATCGCACGGAGTTTTACGAACAGTACGGGGTCCTCCGGGACATGCACCAGAACCACCTCACCGAAATCCTGATGTCTCTCGCCATGGAGCTGCCGGCCAACCTCACCAGCGCGGGAGACGTTCTGCGTAGCAAACTTAGCGCTTTCTCCTCTTTGCGAAGCTTGGACAAAACCAGCGCCGTGATTGGCCAGTACGAGGCGTACGGCGCCCAAGTGAGGGAGGAGCTTCAGAAAGGGCAGGAGCATTATACCAAAACCCCAACGTTTGCAGGTAAATCTGACACCCTCTTGTTTTTAAGAATGCCAGCCAGAAAAAAAAACAAATTTGATCAATTGGTTTGATAACAAGGGCCAGAAGTTCCTTGAGCATCACAACGGCCCTGTAAGGTAGGCACGAAGTTCCTGTTCAGGCCCACAGTTGCCCACAAGAGCAGGCTGGCTCGAGGGATGGGGACAGATAGGAATTTTAGTCTTATCTTTTAGGGCAGTGGTTCTCAACCTTTTTAATGCCGCGACCCCCAACCGGTCGTAAGTCGAGGACTACTCAACCGGTCGTAAGTAGAGGACTACTCAACTGGTGCAGCACCGTTTGCAGAATGGGACTTTTGGCGGGCTCAGCAGGGCAGAGACAGCCTGGACAATTCCCATTGGCTTTGGAAAGCCAATAGAATTAGACTCTATTCAAGAGAGTCGATTCTATTGGCTTTCAAAAGCCAATAGAATAAAAGGAAGTAGCACAGCCAAGGAAAAGGGGGAAAAAGTGGCGGACTGCGTTGTTTGGCGACCCCCGAGAAATGGTCGTTCGACCCCAAATGGGGTCCCGACCCACAGGTGGAGAACCACTGTTTTAGGGCAATGCCATCTGAGTTTCCATCAACTCGGCATCTTCCGCGTGGGAGCAGAGCCTTTGGACTCCTTTCCAAGGCTGGATTGTTAGATTTTTTTAAAAAAGCACTTTTCTTGAAGGATTTCGAACTGTTGAACGGAAGGGGAGGAAAAATAAAAGGAACTGCGGTCTTCAGAACTGTTGAATTGTTATTTATTTGCCAGCTGGAGAGGGGTGAAAATCCAGGTGCAATTGTAAGATCTGGAAAAAAAAAGATAAACTTAGAGTAGACTAGGACATGGGATGGGGGTTGACACGTATCTCCCCAATTCGTGGCCCTATAGCAGTGTTTCTCAACCTTGACAATTTTAAGGCATGTGGACTTCAACTCCCAAAATTCCACAGCCAGCATTGCTGGCTGTGGAATTCTGGGAGTTGAAGTCCACTTGCCTTAAAGTTGTCAAGGTTGAGAAACACTGCCCTATAGAGACGTAAGTGCAGTCCTTGATGTGGTTTTATTGGTTGGGGATGCTGGGGCTTGTAATTAGCTCCTGCTTGGAGATTTTTGGGGTCAGTTGAGCAGAATGGTTATTTCTACTTGGAAAAACTGTAGTTCAATTCATCAGCTGTGGTTTTATCTTGGAGGCTAAACTATAACTCCCGCGAACCTGGCCTCAGTGTGGAGGGTGTGCGTCTGTGGGTCAGAAGCCCCGTAGCCACCCATTCTCTTGTCATTTTAGGGGTGCTGGTCCATTTGGATAACCTACGCTGGGAAGGGGTGCCTTTCATCCTCACCTCCGGCAAAGTCCTTGACGAACGGGTTAGCTACGTCCGGATCCTCTTCAAAAACCAGGCGCACTGCGTCCAGACGGAAAGCGCCTGGGAGGCCGAGCACAGCCAGTGCAAGCCAAAACAGATCATCTTCTACATCGGGCACGGAGAGCTGAATACACCCGCCATCCTAGTCAGCCGTAACCTCTTTAAGCCAGCCATGCCAGCCGGCGCCTGGAAAGAGTTCCTGGATCGCCCTCAGCTGCGCCTTTGGGGACAACAACTCTCCGATTATCATGTCTACGTCCCCGCGGTCAAGAGGGAGGCTTACGCCTTCCTGCTCTCCGCGATCTATCATGGAAAAAAGGAATCCTTCATCACCACGGAGAATCTGCTGGCTTCGTGGGCATTTTGGTCCCCGTTGCTGGATCAGCTGAGCCGCGATTCACCCCGCCTGTATCCCGGCGGTCAGGAAAATGGGCACCTGCTGGATTTTGAGGTGGCGGGCCAGGAAGTGGCGTTCCTAGCCAGAGAGACCCTTCAGATGATCGACCCTGAGGAGAAACACACAGCAGACCGATTCCAGACCGTGCTTTCCACATTTCGAGAGAGCCGGTTGATTACCGCCTGGGCAGACGACCTCATTGGCCGCCTGGCGTCCGACATAGAAACCGCGGCGATGGCTGCCATCCGGAGGCGCGGCAAATTCCATTTGGCGCTTTCGGGCGGATCGAGCCCCTTGGCCTTGTTCCGACAACTCGGCAGACACTGCTACAGCTTCCCGTGGAAGCAGACGCATTTGTGGCTGGTGGACGAGCGCTGCGTCCCGCTGGCCGATCCGGAATCGAATTTCGGCCACCTGCACCAGCACTTACTCCAATATATCCGGATTCCTTATTTCAACGTCCATCCGATGCCGGTGCATCTCAACCGGAGGCTTTGCGTGGAGGGGGACCGAGGCCCGGAGCTGTACACCAACGAGATCGGGGCCTTGGTGGCCAACTCTAGCTTCGACCTGGTTATCCTGGGAATGGGCACCGACGGGCACACGGCTTCCCTCTTCCCGGGCTCGGCAAGCCTCAAGGGGGATAAAGACGTCATTTTCGCCGAGAGTCCCACGAAACCTCACCAGCGCATGACGATCACTTTGCCGCTTATCAACAAAGCCAGGCAGGTGTCGGTCTTAGTTATGGGGAAAAGTAAACACGAGACTGTGTCCATTGTCAGCCGGGCTGGGAACGAACCCCGGAAATGGCCAATATCGGGGGTGAAGCCCCCAAAAGGCCAGGTATCCTGGTATATTGACTATGAGGCCTTAATGGGGTGATCTTTCTGAAGCTGTGGGTCCCCCCCCCCCGCTTCACCTGGCATTTCTCAACAGTGTGGTGTGAAAATTGCCTGGGGGATGAATTGAGACCAAAAAAAAAAAACCCGCCCCCTTTTTTTTTTTAACTTAATGGACAACCGCAGGCTAAAGCTGTTTTTCTTCTCATTAAATTGTCTAATAACACCCAGCCAGGTTTTCTCACCACCCAGGAAATGGCCTAATTCTCTGTCTTGAGGCAGCAGTGATCTGGGGAATCCTTTGTAAGCTTCACTGAAAAAAATGTGCAATCCTCCTTAAAGGCTTCCTCCCTTATTAATTTATCTAATTCTGGTTAATTGAGCCATCGGAGATGGCATTTACGACCACACCTTGTGGCGCTGAGTTCCGCTAGCTCAGACTGGCCTCTGGAAGCCTTCAGGTGGAAAATTGGGAGAGGTAGGAAATATTTGTCAGTTTTTTTCTACCCTCCCAGTCAAGGAACAACTTTGCTGTGTGCCTCAGTTCTCCCCCCCCCCAACCAGGAGTTTATATATTAAACAACCTACCTCACAGGCCTATCTGCTGTTTAATCCCAGGTAAAAATATACATTCTGCAATGCAAAGACATCTACTGTCAGAAATTCAGTTTTGGGATATGATTAGGTGAACTGAGTGGGTGCAATTAGGCGAACTGAGATTGCACCTGTACCAAACAAAGGTTTGCCAATTTTGCTGCTGCCCCTCCAGTTCAAACCAGCATAATTCTGCTTTAGATAGGAGATTTATCTTGCAATCTGGTTTTGATTTGGTGTCAAAACAGTTGCTCAAACTTGAGTTGGGGCAAATGGGGGAAAAAAATAGAGAAATATAATTCTACCACTAGGTGGAGCCATTTCCTACTTTTCAGAATTATTATTTTCAGGATAGAAAGTTTTGCAAAAAAAACCAACACTGAGAAACAGCAAACAATGGGTGGGTGGGGATGATGGGGACTGTAATCCTTCAAGGCTGGAGGGCAGCAACTTACAGAAGGCTATGCTAGCATAAAAAGATGGGACAAACCACGTTTGCTTCTTCTGAATTTAAGCCGGAGATGGATTATGTTTGATGGAATTTCTGCAATAATAAGTGCCTTAAAGAGCTATTTCCTGCTATGGTATTTTGAAGCTTGGCCACTTAAGTGTGTGGGCTTCAACTCCCAGAATTCCCCAGCCAGCCTGAGGAATTCTGGGAGTTGAGGTCCACCCCACTTCAAGTGGCCACCTTTGAAAAAACTCTTTTGATTTAAATAGGTGTTTTCCACTTGTGATTTTTGAAGACTGCTGATATTTTTATACTAAATCTTCCTTCGTCCCAAAGGATCGGTGTTCAGTATTTATACGCCCGGAATGAGTTTTAAAATTTTGTGAAGAAAAAAGAAAAGAAAATTGTAATAAATCGTTTTGGCTCTTGCATTCTCCGGCTGTGTCTTTGGTTTGGCTTCTGGTAGACTGCCTGCAGCTTGGGAGGCTCTGTTTGGGTCCTTGGGACTACGGGTTGCTTCCGTTCCACACCAAGTGTGTTTCAGTTTAAAGCAGACCAGCTGTTGTGCCTCCAGTACACGCAAAGCCTGTCCAGTGTTATGTGGGCGGTTGCGTATCTTTGTGCAGCGGTGGGGAAAATGTAAAGCCTGTTTGCAAGAAAAACCACTCCGAAGGTCAGCAAAATGCTGTTTTCTTGAGTTAGATTGGCAGCCGTTGCTGACATCCGTCACAGAGAATTTGTGCTTGGGATTGGTCAGCTGGTTCACACAAGACAACAACGCTTTGCTGAAGTCACAACTGCTGGGAGAAAAAGAAAGAACAAACCCATCTGTGCCAAGTGGAAGGAAAGAGATTTAATCTGTGACGCTGGGGAAGAATTCGCTAATTGGTGGTGCACGGCAAGGGTGACGGGACAGCCTCACCCTTCTCGACGCACCATCCATAAAATGGGTATATTTCTACTTCCGTGCCATTACTTTACATTGGCCTTCCCCAAGCTGGTGCTACCCCAGCAGTCCTAGATTCCTGCTGCTATAATATTGGCAGAGATATACTGCCTTGGACCATGGAGGTTTTGCTAAAGAGAGCAGCCCGGAAGTTTGCTAAGTGTCTTTGGGCCCACTTCGCAGGGCTGATGTGCAGACAACAGTGGAAAGGCAAGCGTTTTTTTGAGAAAAAAAAAGGTATTAAGGCCACAAAGAAGTAATTCACCAATTGAATAGGACTTAGGTTGAGATTTGCCAGTGACTAAAAAAAAAAAAAGGCATGTTTCGTTCTTAAATCAGTTCACTCAGGACTAGAAACTTAAACTCCCCGTTTATGTTTAACTCTTGGGAACATGCAGCCAGGTCAGTTCATGTCTGCCTTTAATATTTCCAACAGAGCCTGCCTGGGGAAAAAAATAGTTTTGGCTTTGTTTTAGGGTTCAGGAAACTATTTAAATCGGCTTTTGAGTAGCAGGAAGTGTTAAAAAGTTGCTGTTTTTTTTTTTAAAGGAATCTGCCATCTTTTAGGGCAGCAGGAAAAAAAACAAACCCAAAACTTCTCAATTTAAATTAAAGGAATGACGGTCTAAATGTAACTTTTCCTTCATTTTTCCTTGGAGGCAGATGAAAGGAAAGCTGGCAACATTTGTGTGGTGTTTATTTACAAAGGCCAGCGAAGTCGGGTCAAACACATTTGTTAAGTGTGAAAAATAGCCCGTAAGTCACTTGTAATCCCAAAAATGCTTTTTCACAAACTGGACTTCTTTGTTTTTTCTTTGAAGACGTTTCGCTTCCCGTCCAAGAAGCTTCTTCAGCTTCCAAAGAAACTGAAGAAGTTTCCTGGATGGGAAGCGAAACGTCTTCAAAGAAAAACAAGAAAGCCCAGTGGGGGGGGGGAAGGATAACACTGATCTGAATGACGGAGAATCTCCGCAGCCAAGTCACTTGTGCACTTGCACGTCTGAACGGCCACTAAACAAGCTGCTGGAAGTCCAGGCACACCTGGACACCCGAGTAAAGGGGGCCGCCCTGCCTCCTTGCAACCGTCCCATGACACGTGTCCTTCTCCACCTTTGGGGGGGGGGAACACGCTTCCAAGCCGGCTTCCTTGCCAGCAAGTCGGGCGGCGGTTGCAATCCTCCGGGTGGTCTCTTGCGCCGGCTGCTCGGGATCCCGCTGCGCTTTGCAGGCAGGGGATGCGCAGGGCTGTGTGTGTGCGCGTGTGCGTGAGCTTTGCAGGCAGGGGATGCGCAGGTGTCTGTGTGTGTGTGTGTGTGTGTGTGTGTGTGTGTGTGTGTGTGTGTGTGTGTGTGTGTGTGTTTTCACCCGGTCGCCCTTAAGAGGAGGAGCGGAGCCCGGGCGGGGAGGGTTCAAGGCTCATGTGATGCGACGCGCTGCTATTAGAGCGCTCGGCGCCCCCGCGGCGGACTCCGGCCTGCGGGCGAACCGCGGGGCCGATCAGCTGTGGCTGCCGCCGCGTTCTCACGATTCGCGAGTCGCGCGTTTGAGATTACATCTTCTGCACGTCGCGGCTCCAGCTGTCGCCCCGAGGCCGGTGCAAGCGGCCGGCAAGGAGGGGAATGCAGCTCGCGCGGAGGTGAGCAAAAGCTCCCGGGCGGCTCCACTTCGCTTTACAGCCTTCTCCCCCCTCTCTGCTCCGGATTAAGTTGGGTTTGGGGGCGGGGGGAGAAAGAGAGACAGCTTCGCCTCGTTTTGCGGGGGGGGGGAGAATTGGGGAAGGGGCGATCCTGAGAATGGAGATGGGGAAGAACGAGATCTGGTGAGGATTAGCAATTAACAATTAGCAATTAGCAATTTCCCCCCCCCCATCTGAGATTATATAGGTTCTCCTGCTTGAGCAGGGGGCTGGACTAGAAGACCTCCAAGGTCTCTTCCAGCTCTATTCTAGTCCATTCTAGATAAGGGATCTCTTGCGGAAAGCGCCGGCTTTGGATCGCGACTAACTTCGCTTTGGCACCGTTGAAAGCGCATTCCTACAAATGATGCTCCTCCGGTTTTTTGGGGGGGGCTGGGTGGATGGCGAGGCCTGCCAACCTTGCAAGGTAGGCCTACGGGGGAGGGGGGGCGTTCCCGGGGACTTCTGCCAAATTCCCAAAACCTTGGAATATTTCCCAGGTTTGAATGAGTGCATCTTTCTGGTTTTCACTTGGGAAAGTCGTTTGAATTGGGCAAACGCTGTTAGGGGTGGCATTGGGGGGGGGGGTGAAGGAAATGTCTGATATTACAAAGTTAACCCAGTCTAGGGTTCACACAACCATTGGACACTAAGCCAGAGGAGGAACAAACTGGGGCTAAAGCAAGCCAGGTTTGGACCATGTGAGCTCCCTGACTTGGGTTTCTGGGTTGTGCGAATCCACGGATGGAGGAGATTGTGCGAAGGTGCAGCAGTTTGAAAAATTCTGCACAAATTCCGCACTTGGGCTCTGAAAACTTTTTAAGGAGGGGAGAACAGAGCTAAACCTCCCCTTTCTTCAAGGGCCTGTAAAAACAACCACAATTCTTGCTATTCCTTGAGCCAAAAGCTCATTTGCCTTATTAGCCAAGAAGGAAGTTCCAGACTTGCCTGTTGCATGTCTGATTGAGTTTCCGGCGGGCGAGACCGATAAGGGTGTAATGGAGTTCCCTGCCTCTTAATGCCTGTCTTCAGGACCCTATTTTAGGAGGGGGGGGGGATTCTGGACTTTAGGTTCAGCAGCCTGTGCAAATAAGAGAAGAAGAAAAAGGAATATTTTTTCCTAAAATTTGCAACTTCTGATCTGCTGCCTTTTCAAAGCCATTCAGACATTTTTTAAAATATTGAAGGGCCTAGTCTAGTGGTCAGAGTGTTTGAAATTGAGCAGGTACCCCTTTAAGATGTGATCACAGTTTCTGCTAACAATTAGCTTTTTTCAGGGCTGCATACTATATCAGTGACTAAGATAGGAAGTAGCAAGCCGGCAGTTTAAATCAGCCTCACCCATGTTTGTCACGGCTTGGTCAGCTGATTTATAGCAGCTTGCCGTGTCCAGTACAATAATCTTGTAAGGTAGGCCACTGCAGACTTTTTGTTTTGGTAATGGGAAGTACAAATACTCTGTACCTGAATTGTAAAGCTTCTTGCTAATTTGGGAGTGTATTCATTATGGTTTATTCAATAAACCATGTTGAAAAACAGCTGGGAGTCTATCTTGGCTTAGTTGTCAAATGATTGGAAAGAAGCCGTGGCTTTGTGTGATGGGTGGGCCCCACTGATTGTGGCTTATTCAGAAACCATTTGTGTGTGTGTGGGGGGGTAAATCTAGCCAGTTCTGCTTCTCCAACAAGCTATGTTCAGAATAAACAATGGTTTCCTGTGATGACCAACCCTGACTTCTATTTTAAAACGTGCCTTTGACTTCCTAATATTTTCTAATTTCTTATAGTTTTAGGATGGGAGGGATTTACGCAAGCAGTTTTTTCTTTTTGAGTTATTACATTTATATGCCTGTCTTTTGCTGGATTCCCTAGTTTACTACCATTCCCATCATTCCCTGCCAGTGGGATCCTCCCCTGCAACTTCCTACAGCTGGAAAAACTGCCCTCTTCATAGCATAGCAAAGAAGGATGTTAATAGGAACCACAAATGTTTATCAACAAGAAACTCTGAATTAGTTCCCGCAGCATGCTAAGCCATGGTTTACAAACACAGCTATGCAAGCCATCGTTGGCTGCAGTCACATTCTCTGAGGTCCAAACAATGCAGTGTTGTGGGGAGAGCTTCCCCATTGCCTCTCTGTATGAGTCCCTGCTCTGGGCTGGCTTCTATCCTGTTTTGGAGCTGGGGAAATGAAGGGTGGCTTTGATCTTTGTGCTGCAGAACTAAGGTAGGGAAGCTGCGTCCTTCAGAGGACATTGGGTGGCAGGGAACGATGGAGATTGGAGTCCTGTAGCTCGAGGCAGCTGGAATGTCGCCACACAGGGTGTGGATGTTCTCCTTTTAGAACCGAAACATGGATTTAAATGCCCACTTTGTTTGCAGAGGATGGGCTGGCAAAATATCCTGCAGATCCAGGTTGGCAAATAACATATGGACGCATTCTGGTTTGGGGTGGATAAAACTCTAGTTTAGGGACTAGGTGATTTTCCAGGGCTTGCGTGCATTTTGGGGAAGCGAAGGGAATAAATGCAGTTGGATCTCTTTGCAATGAACCGATCTAGAAAATAATAAATACTATGGGTGTAATTCAACAGCTTCAAAGTCCAGTACAAAAAAAATACCTATTTGTGGCCTAAATTGCATTTGGTAGACATCGTAAGGCCAGGGTCTCTCAACCTTGACAATTTGAAGGTGTGTGACTACAACTCCCAGAATTCCCTATGCTGGCTGGGGAATTCTGGGAGTTGGAGTCCAAGTGGCTAAGGTTAGGCAACCTGGCCATAATCCCACCAGTTGGTGCAATTTTTAAGCCAGGCATCCTGATTTATTGACTATATCAACTATAGTTGTTGTTTTTTTTAAAGAAAGTCTTGAAATCTAGCAACCTGCACAGTGTTTTATTAGTGTTTGCCCTGGTTGCAGCTTCCTTGCAAGAATCAAATATTTTAATTTTAGCGGACTGATAACGCAGGCCCTTGAGGTTCAACCCGGTGGAATTTCAGCCGAAAATCGAAATTAGGGAGGCAGGCAAAGACTGGCGTGAGAGAGAGAGAGATTCTTCCCTCCAAGCTGATTTTATTCTTTTTGCTAAGTTCCAATCATTGATCTTGATTTGATTTGGCTATTTTAGAGGTGGCTTCCTCCTTACCCACTTTTATTGTCGTCTTAGCTGCTCAACTGTTTGCTGTGAAGTTGGAGAACATCAAAACATGCTTATGCAATTTTTTTTTTAATAGTACGTGAGCGCTTTCTTTTTTGCTTTGGGAGGTGGCACAGCTGCTGGCGTAGTTGGTTTGGGGTTTCTATGGTCTGTCTGGCAGCCGGAAGCTTTGCTGAGTAATTTGCACCCGGCCCCAGCCCTTCCCCCCCCCAGACAGATGTTGGTCACCTGCCACGAAGGAAATGGAAGATCAAATCTTGCCATCTAGCTGAAATGCCAACCTGATTTAAATGGGAACATGTGGGGATAGAAGCAAGCTGTGGCTGGAAGGGTTCCAAACTGCAAATCTGGCATTAGCCAGATGTTGCTGGACTACGTTTCCCAGCATAAGGATATGGGAGTTTTTTTGGTTAACACTGCCGGGGCACGCTGGCTGAGGAATTCTGGGAGTTGAAGTTCACAAGTCTTAAAGCAGCCAATTTTGGAGACCCCTAGTTTAAAGCAAGAGGCCAGTCTTATTAAAACAGGGGTCTTCCAACTTGGCCCTTTGATGACTTAGGGACTTCAACTCCCAGCATGCCTCAGCCAGCGTGCACGCCTGGCTGAGGAATTCTGGGACTTGAAGTCCACAAGTCATCAAAGGGCCAAGTTGGAAGACCCCTGTCCTAGCTGATTTTAATCATCGTGGGTTAGTGTAAATTGTGAATCTAGCTGGGATGGAAGAGGATAACCTTGAAACTAGGATAAAACCTGGGTTTGTGGAAAGCTTTGAGCCACACCAAGCCTTCCTCCCTTGAACTCAGTGCTGTGTATTTGCCAACCGTAGTTGTTGACTTTACAGTTGGATTCTGTATTAATTTTGCATGCAAAGCAGGCGGATTCTTCCCTTAAAAATCCATTGGGATTCCACTCCTTTTAGATTATGAATAAGCCAGGATATAAACAGGAATGTGGGAAGGCAGCCTTTGGTAACCACTGGATTAAGAAAGACTGGATTAGCTTAAGGTTGTTATCTAATGGGAGGCGGAAATTTCCTAGGCACGTTGACAGGGTGTCTTCGGCAATGTTTAAAAGATGAACTTGAACCGTGATTTAAAAAAACAAACAATCCTGGTTAGGAGTCTGGAGGGTGCTTCTTCCATACAGCCTCCTGCTTCTTCTTTTTTGTGAATGGGGGAGAAGTTGAGCTCCACCCTAGACAGGAAGTTCCGCCAGACTTTGCAAAAACTCATTCCCTTTGCAGTCAACTAAGGACTAGCTGCTTGATTGAAAAACAAATAAACAATGGAGAGGGCGAGCCTCCTGCATTTGCAAGCAACATTCAGCCTGCATGGGGTTGGTTGGTGGTTGTTGTTGTTTTTTTCCTCTTTGAGCATAACACAAAGCCAGCCTGGGTTTGAAATGCAACATTTACAGTAAGAAGCAGAGAATAAATTATAGAAATAATAAGAGTTTGAAGGCATTTTGGAGGTCATCTAGTCCAACCCTCTGCTCAGGCAGGAAACCCTATACCATTTCAGACAAATGGCTGTCCAGTCTCTTCTTAAAAACTTCCAGTGTTGGAGCAGCCACTGCTTCTAGAGGCAGGTTGTTCCACTGGTTAATTGTTCTCACTGTCAGGAAATTTCTCCTTAGTTCTAGGTTGCTTCTCTCCTGGATTAGTTTCCATAAGTTGCTTTTTCTGCTTTCAGTTGCTGGACAAACGGGAAGAGCAAAGCCAGGTAGCCATTGGTATTGATTATTTCCAGAAGGGAACAAAAAAATGAGAATTTTGACTTGCTCATTGGGATGGCAACCCTCC